TTCGTGCCAGAGTTTGTTCAAGTAGGAAAAATCAGGTGCGTCAGGCCTCTCCTGACCGCGGGGTACCGGGGCACCGCAGTCGGTTACTTCGACGTCGGGACTTTGTCGCACACAGCAGCAACAGTAACAAAAGTAGCAGACCTGAGAGGATTTATCGCCGGCAGGGAAGAAGTACTCATCCCGCCCCGGATCCTGAAAAAATCCCTCTTGTTTATCGCCAGCAAAGGAGAACACACCCCCGAGGGCGCGACGAGTTCCGGTTTCCGCGCGGCGTGTTTTCTGAACGGGATCGACGCGCAGACGCTGATAGCAAAGCAGAAATCATGCGTCGAGTGCGGGCACGTGTGCCGCCTCCTTGCGAAACAGGAACAGTCAGCAGCAGAAACACGGCAAGCAGAAGCAGTGCCAGGGTTTCAGCTGTGCGGCGACATCTTGCTATACAAAAACAAAATTTATGTACCGAAGCAAGCCGCTCCCGACATGCAGGTCGAGGACGAAGACGGGCTGTTTCAGGATAGGAAGACTCATACTCGCTACAAAATCATCGTCCACATCCACCACCGCTGGGCGCTGCACTCGCGCGCAGGGAAAACAGCAGACACCGTCGAGCTGTATTTTTCATGGCCAGGGCTCGCCGCTGACGCGGTGCAGGTGGTGTTACGATGCACGGTTTGCAGGTTGTATCACGGTGAACGCGAGAACCTCCTCAGATACCGGCGTAACCCGCTGTCCGGTGGTCTTTTCGGAGAGTTCGCGATAGACCACGTAACCAGCTTACCGCATGCGAAAATCACGTATGGAGATGCAAAAAACGGATATAGCATCACATACACGGCGATTTTGCGGGTCGTGGAGAGAACAATCAAGCTGACGTTTCTCATCCCGGTCCAGGGCCTCAGTCCCTCTGAGGCCTTCAACCAGTTCGCATTTGTCGTCGCCGCAAGTTGCGGATGGCCACTGCGAGTGACGGCAGGCCGCGCCTTCGCGTCTGTCAAAGCGGACTTCGCAGAAAAGGGCACCTACCTGCACCTCAGCATGCCGGTGAACCCGACAGGTCGTGCAGAAGTAGAAGCACCGAACAAGCCGGACAATGCGAGAGTTTTCAAGTGCTGCAAGGAGAACCCGAACAGCTGGCCGCTGCTGGTGCCGTCGCTGCAGATCCTCGACAGGAACTTAAAGCGACCGGAGCTGTGCGAAAAATCCCCGTCGCAAATGCTGTGTGGCAAGACCCTCGCATTTCCGGGAGCGCAAACTCTTTTCCAGGCAGCGGGGCTGACGGAGGGAGAGCGTTCTGATCTTACATCCCTGTAGCCACAGATCCGAGCCGACCGCAATCTGAAGTCGACTGCAGATGCGCTCGGGCGCCGCGGTGCGGTAGGAGAAGCCGAGACTTCGGTGGGGGACCTGGTGATCAGACGGTGTGCAAATAAGGCGAAAAGTCGACTAGAATGCGGACGGTCCGCCGGACGACGCCACAATTTACCAGGTTGTTGGCGTCGACGAGACGTCACTGCAGCTAGTCGACGCGCGGAAGATTGTACTCATCGACGGTTCCGCCGTCGAGTACAAAGCGGAGGATGAGGACGAAATGCGTGCGCTGCGGGCGCCGGCGAAGAACTTCATCAAATTCTACGCCGATACGTGGGTCCACATCTTGCCGTCCCCGAAGCGGATTGTCGACGACGCCGGCCTGCCGACGGCGGACGAGATTTATGGTGTGAATCTCTTGTCCGGCCGATACATCATCCGGCGGCAGGCGACCCAGACGTTGTCGACAACGAAAAAACGACAACAGGTCCGGCCCTCGTATTCATTCCATGAGCGAGAGAGCATAGGGACAACGAAACTCGGAGTCATGCAATAACTCGACAACTTCAAAACGAAAATACGAAAATAAAGAACAACGTCGACGATCAAAAACAAGAACTACTATCAATATCATCGACATCTTCTTCGCGCGTGATCCTCGAGCTCCAGTAAGACAAAAAAACTACCTACATCTTCAATGCGGTGCAAGTTTCTACGAAAAATAATTCCTTCTGTCTGCTTCTGATTTTCTCAACAGCGACAATTTCGAATACGCGACCACTACTACAATTTTGCTTAGACACAGCGCGCATCTTCGTAGTCAGAAAATAAAAGCTTCTACCTCATAGTTAGTCCACTGCTGGTCGCGTACCTCTTTCGAGTCTAAAAATATGACAAATAATACGTAAAATCTCATATCAAAATATAAAGTAAATCATACAAAAACTCATACTTCTATGTTGAATTCGGACGCTCTTGCCCAATCACAGAAGACAGCTACGCATCACAAATAAGAAAGTCCCCACTTTCGCAAGCAAAAAGATCCGCGCTTGCTACAAAATCATCTACGCATGCCTGTCGAAGCTACCTCTCTGCTGTCGACAAAGACACTGCAACTTTCTCCTCGCAGCGAACATCGGATCAACCAATGCACTCACTTCAAACTACATTCTCTTTCAGATCGTCCCCCCAGAGATTTCTGACGAAAGAATACAGCTTCTACGGCACTTTCCAACAGCGACAAAGCCAAATCATTGTGCTGCCTGTGTCCAGTAGATAAAGCATTAGAAATAACAACCAGAGATAAATTTTTCATTCAGAAATACCCTTTTGCTATAGAAATAACTATCAGATTGTCAATTCAAAACTTTCTGGCTACATATAATTTTACAGTAAACGTGTCTACTTTTATTTCAGGATGCTCGATGGAAATGACGGAAGGGAGTATGCGACTGCTTCCCACCGTGTGGGTTTGCTCAGATGAATTTTTTCACTCTGGAGAAGCCACTACTTCCTATCCACTTACGAGCATGTCGCAGCTCCTAGCCACCCGCGAGGCAGTCACGCGCTGCAAGGTGGAGGAACAAACGCGACAGCGCGAATATGTAGAGCATATGAAAACCCTACCGAGCAAGAACCAGCCCCGGGTCTGCACGATCGAACACGTAGTGAGAATCGATATCGTGCGGATGTCCGAAAACGCTGTGTTCGACGAGGGTTCTTGGTGGGATGTCGAGGATGAAAGTTGGGAGGAAGCCAAAGCAAAGGCGTGCTCCAAATGGGATTCTACGTATTCTACCGAGCAGTGGCAGGACCAGTACTGGAGTGAAGGCGCCAGCTACTGGGCCACGTACTACCACTGGAACGCTTATGATAAAAGCGAAGATAGCTCCCCGAAGTACGCTGTAGGCGAAAACTTCAAGGACTAAACATGCTATTTTTTATAACAAACTATAATCAATTATTACTACAAGTCGACTACTCATGTATACAGCAAGCACGTCGTGACTGTTGCAATGCAAAACTTCAAATCTTATCTGATTTCTTTGTTGTCAGTTTTCATTTCTATATCTTTATTTCGGTTGAAGTCCGCTCCTTCATGATGCGTCATTTTGACAAAAATGCATAGAAGTAGCAAGAGAACGTAGAAAGAAAGAAAAAATAAAAATTGTAGTAGAGACCCAAACGTGGCGACCCTTGTGAGTTGCCCGCCGTAGGGAATCCTGCAGCCAAAAAAATAGCATATTATACATAAAAAATAAAAAGTCACCAAATACAAAAAAACATCAGCACTCCTTTAGTGTCTCGTAGAGTTCAAAATACAACGATAGGTCGCAAAACAAAAGCGCACAGCTGACATTCTCACTCACAACCTCTCTTACAACTAGTACATATTTTTTCTCAAAAAATAGATTTTTTTTTTTTCTAAAAAATATATACGAGGGGTGGTTGTAACTGTGTTCGCCACCTTAGCTCTAGTCACAATTGACAACACAAAGAGTTCTGCGAGTACGAACAACGAAGATGAGAAAAGAACGATGAACGAGAAAGAGTTGTTTGTGAACCGAGATCCATTGCGTGCGTGCAGCCGCGTTGTTGAACTTGAACGAGTCACGATTTCAACCTTGAACATAGGAAGAAGCAAGGAAATAAAGAGAAAGACGAACACTCGAGCAGCGTGCTCCCTGCTCACGCATTTACGTCGTGAAGCAGATGTGATTTGAGATCCCTCGCTCTCGTAGCTTGTTGCAAGTTTCTCGTTCAAGATAGTTTTAGCCCGTTCCTTCTCTCTTGTGGTGATCACACAACTCTCCTGACATCAGTCAGTGTGCAGTTGGCCATAATCCTACATCGAATAAGATAGAGGTGAGAAATATTCACATAAACATAGATCATGAGGATCCATCGAGAAACCAACCGATGGATATCAACGAAGATGGAATCAGAAAAACAAGATCTTCTGAAAATACAAAAACTCACTTCATCATGAGACTCAATTCTCCAATTGAATTTCATCCAGATGAACTCCAGAATTTTCCGGATAATGTTAATGAAATCCCTTCATTTCAAATTCCTAATCAAAATAAATTGGGAAAAAAAATTTATGAATTCATCATTTTAATTTTTTCGATTTGGATTTTTATCTTATGAAATAGATTTTGGGATAAAAAGATATGATGATGATAGGATAAGTTTAGATCGGATTTATTAGAGATAAATTGCAATCATATGATGGATCAGACATCATGGAAAGAATTATTTTCTGAATCTCGAACTAGAGCCTGAAGATCTTTACTTTTCAAATAGCATCTCTCTACTTATTCAACCTTATTTTATCCTTATCTTCATCTTTTGAGGGCACTATATTGATGAGAACGATGAAAGACAATCTCGGACCGGGCCAAAGCGACAACTTGAGTCATGCCCAGACATGACAAGAAAGAAAGATGCATGGATATCAAAAATTTAAATAGATTTCATTTTCAATGTCGATAGATTTTCACGAAAAAAAGAAATAATGTGTTTCGAATCAAATAACAGCGTGTGGATCATTGTTTGATCTTATCATTATCTGTGATCCTAGTGGTCGTCTAGACAACCGATTAAATTGAAAATGTTGGATGCAACTAACACAACATGGAGGGTAGAATAACAATGCCTGGCCACGATGCAGCCCGAAACACACTCGCAAGGTGCCTAGTACTAGTAGCTCCATTTGGCCGATTTCTTCCTCCCGGTCCCGACCAAGACCGGCACCTCGGTCAGACAAGCAACGGGGGCCTGTAGAAATAAATCTAGCTGCGCTGTGTGATTTTCAGAGTTTCGACTTTCGAATAAAATCGATCATGCGTCCCAGACTGTATGCCTATGCTTCTTGTTTCCCTCACAAATAGAAATAACTTACTTGGGCGCCATAAAACCTTCGTCAAGGAAATAGAGCATTGATTGATGATTGACTCCGATACCGATACCAAGAAAAAGAATAGACATAGAGACGCCGACATTGAAAATAAAAGTATAAAGTTTTCATCTTGAATATTCCGCCGTGTTGAGTCTAACGAAGTAAATTTGATTTTGGTCAACAAAAACAATGTCGACATGGAATTCTTTTGATTTTTGTATCGTATACACGTCAGGCTGTTTGTCACTCAACCGCTGGGGTGCAAATGCAATAGTATACATAGTTTAAGCTTTTCTTTTATCGCGGCCACCAAGTGGCTTCCTGGTGAAGAAAAAGAAAAATCGCTCGCCACGAACGCCGATCCAAAGACGCATAGAATGCACACAGACACAGTCCCTGATCTGGATCCCGCCCCCACATACGACCAAAATGATTTACAAATTTTCCCCCGTCTGTTCTACTTTGAAGAGTCGCCGCTCCTATCAAACGGAAACGCCGGCGGGATCTGCATGGTCTTCCTGGCTGACAATCTTCGTATCGGCCTTTTGCTGTTCTCGCCGCGTCGCCGCGAGAGCCTCGATCTTTGCTTTCAGCAACAAAATATTTTCCCGCTGAATTTTTGCGACCGAGTCCAGGGCTGCGTACCGCGACGTTGTTGACTCGTTCAATTCTTGAAAAGACGGGTCCTCTCGAGTAGTACCTGGAACGCAAGCAAGAGGTACTACTACTAGTGCTAATTTCCAGCTCATTATTAATTTGTAATGGTGCATTGCGAGGACAAATATTTCTTTTCATTTCATATTAGGGCCTTGCGGAAATTAATATGGACTTTGGTTTGAACAAATAACTGCTTGACAAACAGAAATCCTTGCCAAAAGATGAGGATGACAAAAGATCGCTATAAACATATGACCTGCATCAAGCAAGCGCATGGAGGATGGATGGAGGACATCATCAAAAAAAAAATTCAAGTTGTACTCATGTTATACCTCTAAAGGATTCCATTTGTTTTCGGAGTAACGCTTCATTTTCGTCTTTTATGTGTGATAAAATTGTCGGCCCCAGGCGTATATGCTTTGTAAAAGTATCGTACTCGTATAAATGCATTAGCATTACAAATTTTCATTTTGATTTTCACAGCATGAGAAATAAAATAAAAATTTGTGATGCTGATTTACCTTAGGGAAAAGATTTGCAATGCATGATTGCAATACGAGTGCGATACTTTTGCAATTCATAGCGCAACCGCTGGGACAATTTACTCCTCGGAGAGTGTGACTTGTTCCACGGCTGGTCCTCGATAATCGATAATTGACTATTGTTTGCATTCGCCAGCGAGATGAGCGTAGAACCGTTGTGATGCTGCTGCTGAAGTTGCTGGCCCGAGCCAGCATCGATTTCTGCCAACAGCGAACTCAGAGTAGCGGCAGGGTTCGGGTCGCTTTGCCTTGCGGATTCTGGCCTCTTTCGCGCTGATGGACTTCTGCTCCTGTGAAGCACATGAGCATGAGTCGCAGTAGTTTCAGCGAAATTTCTTGAATGGATTTAGAAGATAACGTACAACTGCGAGTCAGCATTTGATCATGATCCATCAATGTCTGTGACCTTCTTTGTCTGTGTGTGTGTCTGTGACTCGGGCCCAACAGCATGCTAGCTACTGAATTAGAAGAACAAGGCTTAGGCTGAAACTAAATCGAAAAAGCTCACAACTTCTAAAAATAGCATTTATCTATTTTTTTACCTCGCTCGCCCCGAGGCGGAGGAGGAGGACTCAATAAACAGGTTCTGTCCCAAAACCGTCGGAGGACGAGGCGACCGCAGCAACTTTTGCGCAAGCGGTACTTCGTGACCACTGCAACCCCTCGGTCGTGGGAGATGCAGTTGCTCCTTGTCTTGTGCCGCGGGACTGGGCGCCAGAGCTACGGGATCTTCCAGTACAACGGGAGCTGCTGGCGCTCCGTCCGGCTCCGAGTAAAACTGCTGCGGAGCAGCTCCAGTTCTTGACGAGGATCGTCCAGTGATCACTTCTTTGGAACCTCTGACAGACTGCAGTTGCGACGAGGAAGATGAGGATGCGGCCACGACGCCGCGGGCAGAGCTCGAATACCATTTCGGGGACAGGGACAGCCTGTTTCGTGGGGACCTCAGCCTCCGGCTGCTTTCCAAGGATGACAAGCTGCCGCGGCGAGACGAGTTTCGCGATATCAGCTGGGTCCAAGCCTGCTGCAGGTCGACGTCCTCTGGCTTCGTTGATGTTCCGTCCGAGAAAGCCAGCGGCCTTTGTTGTGGCCGTGGTCCAGGGGCTGGTGGTCCATGTGAGGAACTATGAAGATGTGTCGTCCGCCCATCATCTTCGGCGGGTGATCGCGACGAGGAGAAAAAAACGCCTGAGTTCTTTGACATGTTCTCTACTTTTGTCCGGGATTCTGTGGCTTTTTCGAGAAAGATCTCTTCCAATTCCGACAGTTGCTCCAGAATTTCCACGTGTTTTTTGCTTGCCGGAGACCCGGAGCCTCCAGGAGATCCTCGTTGGGACACGAGAAGTCTCTGCTCGTCCCCTCGTGGAGGGGAAATATCATGGGAGGTGCTGACCATGTAGTTGCCACTACCTGTGCCACGAAGAATCCCGCCGCCCGGGGGAACCGCTGTAGCGCTTCGTGGACTGAATCTTCGTTCCTTCGACATCAGACCTCCATCGTGCGTTCGTAGCAAATCGTCGAAGAAGCTGGCGTTGCTTTCCTTTCGGCTCCTTGCCGAGGGACTGTGGCTCGTGCGCCCATTTCTGACGGAATTGGTCGGTGACTTGGTCTCCAACTTCGAAAGATTTCCGAAGCCTCCTAGGACTTCGGACGTGGAGCGCAAGCTATTGCTCCAAGACGCCTTGCTGTTGGTGAAGTCGAGCCTGGGACTGTTGTTGTAACGACCGGACTTCAGGCGCGAATCTCGATCGTTGACGAGGAAGTCGTTGTCTGCCCGAAGGAGCCGCGAACGGCTGCTTCGCGGGGAAACATGCATAGAATACTGGTCGTGCGTTGTGTTCGCGAGCTCCTGTATCGAGTGCAAATATGTGGTCTGGGTCTGGAAGAGAGCTGCAGCAAGGTTTGATGTCATGCATCTCGTGTACTATCCCACCACTCCCAGAGATGATCAGAATCAGATCTCGAACTCGAATGCAGCCAAAAGCATCACAAATTGAAACTTTGCAAGAGCTTCTTAATGCCTATTCTGCGTGGGAAGTTTGCCTTTTGTTTCCGTTGCAAGAAGTGCAAGTGGGTAAGTTTTGCGGGTCATGCAACACACATTTTAGCCCGCTTCAGATTTGGCATGACAAGTTTGGATCCTTGCTTCCAGGCCCAGAAATATTTGCAATGCATATCCTGCCACCTTCGGGGTTGATGCGGTTTTTTGTTTTGTCCTCGCGAGCAGGTAGGACTCGATCTTGTCCCACCACCCGCAGCTCTCAAAGGCGCCCCGCTCGGTTGCAAATCGTCCACCAGAACCCGTCGCGTCGTGCTTGGAGATGTTGAGGATGATGCTTTTTCTGCTCGCCACATTCTGTCTCGAGATGAGAGCGTGGCGACCACACCAGCGGGCGGCGATCCGCGTCGTTCCCGTGCTTTGTTAGTGAGAAATACGTCAACACGATCCAGAATTCGCTGCACTTCCGGATCTGCGCTTGTCGGCTTCTCCAGCACACCTTCGAATACAAAGTCACGCCCTCGGGAGAGCGCATCACGTCGTGGCGGATTTCCATCAGGGTCGTGAGCACGATGCTGTCCTCTGGCAGCTGCAGCTCTGCTCGGCGTCAAGCTTACGCTTCCGCGATCATGCAGCGATGTAGTTGCCCCACCACGAGTAGGCAAGACTCTTCTAGTACTCCTGCTGGTGCCCACGCCCCCCGGCGAACGCGATGCGCTCGACGAGGGCGTTGTTGAGGAGCCGCGCTTATTACTGGAGTGCTGGTGCGCCTGCGCAGAGGCAGAGGCACTTCGCGTCGCGGAACTGCGAGGTGGGTAGAACGGTCTACAACTGCTACCGGAGCGTCTACGACCTCCTCCAGCCCTTCTCCCCGCCCCGCCCGCGCTCTGCTCTTATCAAAGTGAAAAAAGCCCCCACCCCATATCGGAAACGGAAGATGCGCGAACTTGTGATGCTGTATTTGAGTACACAAATCGACCTGTATTGCTAGAAGGCCAAGAGACGAAGCTGTGGCCTAAATTGCAGGTAATCTGTCATGCTGTTTCCCACTTCCAGTTGCCTCCTGTCATCCTGGAGCTGCAAGGCTTTCCCACGCTAGACAGCACTACAGTCCGCATCTTTTGCCTTCTAGCATCACAAAGCTGATTTGTGACCACAAATCTGCATCACAGATTTCCGTTTTGATATGGGGAGGGGGCATTTTTCATTGTAATAGCTCTGCAACTTGCAACAAGACCGAGTAGTCTTCGACCAGCCCGCTGTGGTCCTTTTCTGTTTTCGCCAACCCCAGCACCAAGTTGCGGTTTTTTTTCTCCATCGCACCGGAGAAGCTCAGTAGTTCCTCGAACTTTGCCGCCAGAATGCGGTTGTCGGCTTTCAGCTTCGCGATTTCCTCTCGCAAGAGGTTGCGTTCCTTCTCGTGTTCCTTCGTCAGACTCGTGTTCTGCGCGGTCAGCAAATCCAGTTCGTTCGTCAACTCGTCCAGGATTTTCTTGTTTTCCGTGACCGAAGTGGTTGCGACTTGCTTATGGAAGCGTCAGGATCGAAATCGACAAAGTGTCATGCATAAAATGGATGCCAGTTGGAACCCAGTTTCCAAGTGGCGCATGACAAATTTCGGTGGTCCCTGAATCCAGTTTGTCATACTGTTTAGGCAAAGAAGGGCGATTTTCTCATGCTACTTTAGCAGCTCGAGCTGCAACCCCAAAGAGGCCTACAATCGGCCTCACGTGCCTGCTCTGCAACACACGTACCTCGGGTCATGCACTTTATGCATTACAAGTCATTTCAACTTTGTCGATTTCAAACCTGACGCTTCCATATTGCTTTTCTCGGTTGTAGAGTTCCTTCAGTTCCTTCTGCTGGTCCTGAAACACCTCCTGCTGCTTCTTCTGCTGCTCCTTCTCTGCCTCTAGCTGCTTTTCGAACTCCTTCACCTTCAGGTCGAACAAGGTTTTGTTCTGTTGTTTCTCTTCTTCTAACCGCTGGATGATGTCCTGCAACTGCTGCTTGGACTCCCTCTGCTCCTCCGCCAGATCGTCCTTCGCCGCTTTCCACGCGTGGATTTCCCGTTCGTGGAACCGCACCAAATCCGTTTTCTCGTCCTCAAACTCGTCGATCTTGGTTTGCAACAGATACTTCTCCTTCTCCTGCTCCGCATATCAAAATGAAAAATCCCCCCTCCCCATATCAAAGTCGAAATCTGTGATGCGGGAACTGTGTACAGATATCAGCTTTGTCTTGCAGTAGAGGAATGCAGGCAGATACAAAGCACGGGCGGGGGTGTTCTGATGTAGGCTCTACTTAGCAAGACAGAGATCCCGCCTGTAGGCTTAGCAGCATCACAAACCGCCTGCAAAAGGTGGCGGAGTCTCTGGACTTGCCTTCTTGCAATACAGAGACGATTTGTGGCCACAAATCAGCATCACAAATTTTCAGAAGTGCCCCCTTTTGGTATGGGGAGGGGAGATTTTTCCTCACGATACCGCCACCCGTTGGGTCAGCTTCTCGATGTCCGACATCTTCTCGCGGAGGTTTCCCCGCAGCGTGTACTGTTGCTCGATCTGGAAAAGCTGCTGCTGCTCGTCCTCCTTCGCCTTTTCCGCCAAAACCTGGTCAAACTGCAGCTTTTTCATCTCCGCGTCGTTGCGGAGTCTCCGATTCTCCGCGAGGAGTTCCGTGTTCTCTCGCACCGCGTCACTCTCCTTCTGCTCATTTTCCGCGATCTGCTTTGCCTGTTTCTCAAGGATCAGCGTCATCTTTGTTCGCTCGTGCAGATGCAGATCGCGCAGCGTGTTGAAGCTTATCTTCATCGGCTGCAGCGTCGTGGCGAGAAAACCGTCTGCGGCAACGAGAGACTCCGACATGAGAGCGCGCGCGTCAAGAACTTCATCCTGGACTGGCAGCTTGTCGGTCGTCCCCGCTGCAGAAGTAGTTGTGCCTGCTTTGGCAGCTTTGCTCTTTCCCGCCTCCTGCGAGTCATGTTGATCGTGATCGTCCGCGGTCTTTTTCCGTGGCGAACCAAAGAGCGAGGGGTAGAGTTCTTCGATCGGCTTCGGCTTCTCTTTATTTGCCGAAGACGTAGACGTACTACTTCCAGGCTCTTTATTTCCTGGTCTAGAAGTTCTCTTAGCAGCTGCTTCTAGCTCCCGTTCGATTTCTTCTATCGCAACTTCTGGGAGCGCTGAAACGCAGTCGGACTGCTTCTCGAGTTCAGCCGCGACATTGCTTCCGAACTCTGCCACGGCCTCCTGCACCTTCTGTTGAGCGGCCAAAACGGCAGAGATTCTGTCGTCCGCTGCTTGCCGCAGCGCCTTTTCCTCCTTCAAGCTGTGCTGGAACGCGAGAAACGTGTGGTTTTGGTTCTCCAGCTGGACCTTCAGCTGGCTCGCCTCCGTGCCGAGAAACCCTTTTTCCAACTCCCGGTCTCGCAGTTTCTCGTCCAACTGCTGCACCTCCGTTCGGAACTTCTCAAAGATCTGCTGCAAAATTTGGATTCCCTCGTTGTGGGTCGTTGTACTACTCGAGGTTGCTGGGAAGGCACCTGGTGGTCGTGAGGGACTGCCCGCCCCCGCGCTTCTCGGATTCAGATAGTTGAAGTTGTCTCCAGCTGCGAGGCTAAGTGTGCGATCCAAAAGGGACGCGACGAGAGCTAACTCCTGCTCCGCAGAGTCCATTCTGTCGCGGTTCTTCAGATTGGTGCTGCCAACATCCTTGTCTCTCTCTACTTCCTGTTCCTCCAGGAGACCAAGTGCGTTACTTTCAGGAGCACCTTCTTTGTTTCCACTCGCTGGCGCTGCTGAAGGAGCACGACGACCCTCCCAGCAAGACCCGCCAGTCGGCTGCGAAGATGCTACGCGTACGCTAATCTCCTGTGCCCGTTTCTGCTGCCTGCGAATGTACTTCGACAGTTCCTCAAACTCTGCCAACTTCGCCCGAATCACGCCCGCCACCTCGGATTTATGCAGTTCCGACGCATGCCCTTCGATTGCGTGGAGCAGAGAACTTTGCCGTTGCAGCTCGTTTTTCTCCTCTTCGTGGTCGTGTTTCACCGTATTGAATGTCGCCGAATCAGAATCACCTCCACCGCGCTCCTGCTCGTCCTGCTGCTCGCTCACTTCGTGCCACTCCTTCAACTTTCGCAGTAGAGCCTTCGACGGGTGCAGTGGTAAAGAACCCTCTTCCTCGTCCGCGTCCCGGTCGGCGTAAAAGAGCATCGGTGCCCCGGCGGCGGGGTTCCTGTGGTCCTTCAGCGAGGACGAGCCGCCGCGCTGCACATAGGACAAGTCGTCGAAAGTGGTGACTTCGGAGACGATTCTCGCCAAGATGTCGCAAACGCGCCACCCGGCTTTGCCGGATTTTTCTAGCTTGGACGTCTGAAAGTGGAACTTCTCCTGCAGTTCGTTTTTCTCCTTGCGCAGCGCCAGCACCTCCTCATATTGCTTTCGGTTCGCCTGCTCCAGCTCGTGGAGCTTCTCGCTCAGGGTCGACATCTCCGACGCGCCAGCGGTCATCGCTTCCACGGTAGCGGACTATGAGAGTGCACAAGAACTCCCCCTCCTCCTCATTTGTATGGCATCAACAGCAATACAAACACCAGCACACATCATGGAGCCTGTGCAGGACAAATTTATGCGCTTAGTGTAGTACTTCTAGTTGGGCTTCGTGATGCAAGCAGTGCCATCATCATCATCATCATCATCATGTAGTGGACACCCGCTCCCGGTGCCACAAGGCAGCGGCTGGCTTTGGGATTTTGCATGACAAATGAGGGGGAACAAGGGGGAGTAGTTGTGCACTGTCATACGGACACGTTTTCGTCCAGATCCTTCATCTGGTTTCTGAGCTTTTCGTTCTCTTGCTTTTCGAACTCCAGTTTTTTCCCGAGCTCCGTCACTTCCTTTTCGTGTTTTTTCTTCCCCTATGCACTGCAAAAGTATCGCACTCGTATAAATGCATGACAAATTGAAATTTCCTCAGCATGAGAAATAAAATTTGTCATGCGGATTTACCTTAAGAAAAAAATTTGTAATGCATGGTTGCGATTACTACGAGTACGACACTTTTGCACAGGATATCTCCTCCTTCTGCTGTTGGAGAAAAGATTGCAGCTTCGACTCCACCCTCTGTTCGTAGTCCGCTTTTTCCATGTATCAAATGTAAAAATGTCTGGGTCTGGAAGAATGCAACTTGTGATGCTGCATTTGGATTCCAAAAAAATCTGTATTGCATGAGTACCAAAGGAAATGCAATCTTTGCTACGCTGAGAAGGCGTTTGTCATGCGGAATACGCATCTTCAAGAATCTGTATTGCTAGGGTATGCATCACAGACATCATGGCTCATGCAAAACGTGCATGACAAGTGTCAGAATCTTCCAGACCCAGACATTTTTACAGTTGATACCATGTTCGCCTTTTCGATCTTTGTCTCTCCCGCTCTCTGTCGAGTCTTGAAGTCCTCGACTTCGGATAAGTGCCTGCTGAACTGCTGCTCGAGTTCCTTCTGCAGCGTGGTGATCCTTTCTTCCAGTATCGCCTTTTCCGCGGCCTCCTTCGCGATCTCCAAGTCTTTCTCCGTCTTGCTGCTCGTGATTTGGCTGGACATTGCGCCGACATCCTTCAACAGGGTGTCTCTCTCCTTGGAGATTTGTTGTTTCTCTGCCTGTAACACTTTCACGTCGTCCCTCAACCGCTGCATTTCGAATTCCAGCGCCTCGCGCTTGTCCTTGTCCTTCAGCTCGACGTTTATTTCGTCTTCCGCTTTTCTCAGTTTTTCCTCCAGCGCTTTCTTTTCCTGCGCAAGCATTTCTTTTTCCGCGAAAAGAGCCTCGTAATTCTTCTGCTCCATGTGCCGCAAATCTTCTTTCTCCTTTTCCATCAGCAGAAAGTCCTGGTCGCGCAGGACCTGCAGCTCGTGCTTTTGCTTCTCGTAAGAGATCTTCTGCCTCTCGATCCGCTTTTTCCAAATCAGTTCCTTGCGACCGAGCATCTGCTCCAGCTTCGCAATAATCGGCTGAAGTTCCGGGTCGCGATTCGCGTCGTCAAGTATCTGCAGCTGTTCCTCTTTTGAATACTGACGCTGGGACAGCTGCTGGAGGCTCTGAGTCTGAGCCTGTTCCTGATCTTTTGGTACTTCTGGTGGTCCTCGTCCTGCATCTGCTCCTGCGACATTTTTACCTTCAAATGTCGTTGTGTCCTCACCTCCGTCTGCAGAGGAGGCTGCGGAAGACGAGGAGGAGACGAGAAAAGGGTTGCTTTCAGTCTTCTCAAACTTGTTGGCACGAGGACCATCAGCGGCAGTGTTTGATAATGTGGTCCCCGAGCTTTGAAACACCGCAGAAGCCGGCTGCTGTGGACGAGGGGAAGATGAAGAGGAGGAAGAGGAGTTTTTTACCAAAAACGCATTTTCGATTTCTTCCTGTTCCCTCTTCCGCTTTTGCCGCTCTAAAGGCGACGCCCCTGCCAACGTCTCGGAACTGGACGCAAGTGCAAGCGAGGCAGAGGCTGCGAAAGCGGCGGAACCGCTGCGCGACAAACTCTTCTTTGCCTCGTTAATATCCCGCATCAGTTCCATCTGCTCTTCTACCTCCTCCAGCGTGGTCTCTACTCCTCCGTAACTTTCTTCCGTGAAGTAGCTTCCCCGCCCCGGTATGTTCCCCGCAAGTTTATCCAAGACCGCGTCAAAGGCCGTGTGGCGTTTCTTCCTCGCATCTTCCAGCTCTTTCACGTGGGCTTCGTGCATCTGTGCCAACTTTTCCTTTGCTTCGTCGAGCAGCTTCTGCTCCCTTTCCTTCTGCGTGACATCGTTCCGGAATTGCGACGCTGATAGCGCCTCCTCCCGAATCGCGGTGAGAGCTTGCATGTTTTCGGTCTGTGCCACGAGCAAGTCGCGCTCCAGTTTTTCCGCCTGGCTCTTCAAAAAGGCCATGGCCTCGTCCTTCTGCTCCAGCTGCAGCCGGAAGTTTTCCCTCTGCTCCTTCAATCTTCCCTGCAGTTCGTGATTTTTCTTCTGCAAGTCTCTATTTTCCTGGTCCAGCCTTTCGTTCTGTTCGCGGATTTGCCTGCTGCTCGCGGAAGTGGTGCCCAGGAAGCGGCTCGTGGATGCCTTCGCCTTGTTCGGCCGTCCGAAGGAAGTAGATAACCCGGCTCCGGAGGGGCTTTTCGGGCCTGGGGACGACGTGCTGGCACCGGCTCCGTTTGCTGTTGTGATTCCATGATTTTTGTCGGGTTTGGAGTTGTGTTCTTGTTCTCCGTTAATACTGTATTGCGTGATCAGCTCCTCGGCGTGGTTCAGCTTCGCCTGCAAATCCTCCTTCATTTCCTTGACTTTTTTGCTACGCCACGCCTGCTGAATGTGATCGCTCGCGAGCTGTTTTTCGCGCTTCAGGCGGCTCTCTTATGGAAGCGTCAGGATCGAAATCGTCAAAGTTGAAACAATGGTTTGCCCTGCATAGAATGCAGCTCAGGGACTGGCACTCGCACTATAGCAGAGGACGCAAGGGTGGCAGATTCTTGTAGTGCTGGCAGGGGTCGAGAATTGGGTTGCTGATTAGCATGACAGAGGGGAGCCCTTTTGCCCGAAACAGCATGACAGACTTGCTTTAGAGGCCAGGAAAATTTGTCATGCGCCACTTGAAAACTAGGCGCCAACTGGTATCCGTTTTGCGCATCACAAATTATTTCAACAGTGACGATTTCGATCCTGACACTCCCATATCTCTTCCAAGACGCGGAGTCTTTCCTCTGCTTCCTCCAACTGCAGCAGCTTCTGCTTCAGCATTTCTTCACGCTGCTTTGCGGTTGGGTGGGCCTTCTTCTTCAGAAAGTCGTTTTCGTTGTAGACTAAGGCGAATTGCTCGTCTTTTTCGGCGAGGACCTGTGGTATGTTTTATTTCCGTGTGGAAAAATCATATGTGTCGCACGGCCACACGCAGGCACCAGGCAATGAATGGCGCGTTGGAAAACTTCAGAGAGAGAGAAATACTTGTAAGTATTTATCCGAAGCCTACCTCTAGCTAGTATTAGTAACCTAACTAGAACTACAACAAGGATACTATCCTACTTACAAATCAATCTGGTACTACAAGCGCTACCGTTATCGTGTACCTTTTCCAGATTGTGCACCTTCTCCGTCAACCTTTTTTCTTTCCAGATGCTTTTCTCCTGTAAAGCCAGGCTTTTGCGTTCCATTTCGTCCACGGAAAACTCGTAACACATCTGATAATGCCTCAAAAGTAAACGCACTTTCTGCGACACGTTCAGATCAGAGGCAGTGGAATGGAGTTTTTTCAACAACCACATCAAATTCGTTGGGTCGGCGGCGGACGACTGCTTGGAGTTCTTCATTCGAGTATCATCAACGACCAGGTGCCCGTCCGGACCGTACTGCTTCAACTTCGCCTGCGCGCTGCATTTTCCCAGACGCACCAGTTCCAAGTTGTCTTGGTCGACGAGCAAAACGTCTCGGCTGTCCGTGATGGCGAGCATAACTTGTTCCAAGTCTTCGTGCAATTTCCGGAACTCCCTTTCTGCGCTGTCCCACAGCTGGTGAAACCGGTTGGCTTCGGCCAAACTGGTTTCCTTCGAAGTGAGCGACTTCCGCGCCCGAGCGAACACAGAAACGCCACCGACCCCGGACGGAGTTTTGGACCCAGTTGTATGCAGGTGGTGGTGTGCCGAGCCCGAGGAGGAAGAACTTGATGCGGCGTGGTGATTGGTCCCGCCGGTTGTAACGGTGAGAGCCCGAGTGAGCTCCTCCTCGCGGTCCTTTGACAACTCCAGTTGCTCCTCCAGAAACTCAACTTCCTTAATCTTCGCCTCGAATCCCATCCTGAGGGCGGACAGCTGTTGCAGCTGCTGTGCGCCCGAAGGAGCTGGCGGACCTCCTCCGATTTGCTCCTTGGACAACGACTTTGCCATCATATTCAGCATCATCGGCGTGGCCACGGGATCAGGTGCCAGGAGGCTGGTTTCGATACTCCGGTCCACCTGAGCAACGAAGTCGAAGTCCAAAGACTCGTGGTTGTTCAACATAATTTTATTGCTCTTGTAGTCGAAGATAGTATCATCTTTATACGCCTGGACCTGGTCGTCCGCTACCCGCTGCTCGCCGTAAGTCCAACGGGCTCCTTCATCCTGCTCCATCTGCATCTCCAAGAAGCGTCTACTCCTCCTCGACGTCGCCTTCCATGCTGTTCTTAGGCGAGGAAGACTGCCCGCTGGCTTCTACCATTCGTCACACTGAACATGATATTGCTCGGACTTCGCGCTCATGCTGCTTGAAGCGGAGCCACATGGATGTTGAAAACTCTCCTGCTCGTCATGTTCATCTATTTCTACGTGTATCAACATCTGCGTGGTTGCGACATTGCGCTGCTTGCAATCTTCTGAAGCATCATCGAGACAGAGATAGACGATGCACGAACTGTATTGATTCAATTTATTTTTTAGAAACGATCAGTATGTATCAGAATCACGATGTTGCATTGAGGTACCAACATGAACGACACACAAGACCAAGCACGAATATCAATATTTTCGTGTGAAACGATGTTGGGCTTCTTCGATGGAGAAGGATGAACCTTGATCAGCAACAACGGACGAGGTTTCTTTGGACTAATTTCCGTTGAGGTGCGGTAGAGCAGTACTCTAGGTTAACAACAGTGTGAGAAGTATGGTAGGAGCAAAAATCTGCTTCGGTTGCTCGACCATGCGAGTAATCCCATCATGTTATGGCATAACACAAGATTTTCTAACTTGGTCCTCGCGTTCGATTGAGTACACGCACACTAGTACTTGAGCTTCGTTGATAAGATGTTGCATCTTTCCTGGTGCTTCATCATAATTTGAATTTCGTTGACTACTTCTTAAATGAATCGATATTCAGATAGGGATACACATAAGTCTCAGCAGTTCTCCTGATCGTTTCGGGAATACAGCAATGGGCTGCATATGCAAATGCAAAGCGTGTTGCGATTTTCAAACTACAAACTCTTCGAAGCTGTTCTTACTGGTCATTGCTGTTTGACGAAAGCAAGAGCCGGTTCCTCCAGGGAAGGATGCTCGAACTTGGTGATAGGAATAGGGCGAGAGGACGGCGCACGCAAAACGCCACTAGAAAGAGAAACAACAAATCTGCCCTGCTGCTCGTGTCCAATGATTAAGACATGCAGGCACATACAAGCCTTGAAGATGAAGAATAAGTAAACAACAAGAAGCGAGAGTTCTCTTCGTGCCCATTAAGAAGGTCTGAAGTTGCGCGTTCATGTGGCGCCTCACCAATTCGAATTTCCATTCCTCGAAGAACATTTTGAAAATCACACAGTGCTGTCAGCTGCATCGGATACCACGAGCCGGTATATGTATGTCCAACTGTCCGTCTTCCAGTTTTGCGGCAGTTTGTGACTGTACTGACTGCGAAAGCAGTCTAAGTCAGGTCCCTCGCGCCCGCAGCAGTTGGCAAAGGTTCGATTTTTCGCAACAAATCGTGATTGACGCCGCAGGTCAAGCAATAGCTCAGTGCTGTTGAGAAAAGCCGACTCTACTACTAGTTCTGGCGGTGCCGCACGCTGACGCTGTCTCTCCCGCTGCTCATCCGCAGTGGCGATTTCGTTAATACTGGATCGCAAAACAGTGCGCTCCACCTCGCGATCATCTTCAACGTGAATTTTCCCCCGGTGATCTTTCCTGGAGGTACTAGGCGTGCCCGCATTGCCTTTGTTCGCTCGATCATTACGATCCTGCGAAGATCCCGCTCTCCCCGCTTGTGCTCGTCCGAGCACGTAGCGTGTGTGGTGTTCCTGGCCTCTGAGGAAGTCATGGACCACTTTTTGTCTTTAGCATGAGACGTGATGAATCTCTAGTGAATTTTGCATGACAAATAGCAGAGGAGATTGCCGGGCCATTGTCCCTCTCGCCCTTCTGGGAAGAGCGTTCTGCACACCGCAGAACTCGCAAGTTATGCGGCGGGCAGCTGGACATGGCCTGGGCGTCGTTCTTTGGCCATGTCTTTTCGTCTTCCTGTGCTTGCAGAAGAGCAAGCACTGCAGCAGCCGCGGCAAAGATGCCAAAAACAAGGGCCGCGAAGCACATACATTTTAGGCAAGACGAAGGCGCTAAAGCAAGGGCGAAAGGACCAGGCCGAGAGCTTTGACGCGTCTATCCGGCAGGCGCGTGAACTCTCCAGGCCTTTTCGGCAGAATCTAGACGGGCTGAGGGCAACAGAGGGCGCTTGTCTTTTCCCCTCGGCCCCACATTCCAGGGCCTATTTGCGGACTTTTTTCAGCACTTTTCTGCGCTAAAGTTTGCTTATCACGGTCGAAAAGGGGCGCCCGGTGAGTTTTGGGGTGAATTTTGAAAAGGGCGCCGGTGAATTTTGGCCTCCGGCTCCTGTTCAAAATTCGCTAGCGCATGGGAAACTCCGTGTTTTGGGGCTTCAAAAAAGTGTCGCAAAAAGAAAAATCCTCAAAATTCACCAAGAGAATTCTTGACCTGCGGGTCACGTCGAAAAAGACTTGCTCTGGGGGAAAGAAGACCCGATCCCTGGGGAGTTGTGGGCCACAGCAGGCGAAGCTAGCGCCCGCCGAATCGTGGCTCCCGTTCCAGAGGCTGTCCCCGGGTATCCAGCTCCAAGCCGGGCCAACCGCAATCCGCGAGAGCCTCGTACGTGTTGAACTAGTGCCCCTGTGCGTAGGCGTCGGCCTTCCTTTCGACCTACTATCGATTCCGGAGAAGTACTGCAGGAGAGGCAACTACGCACAATCACACTGCCACAATCCACCTTCCTGGGTGAAATACGCACTGCACAGCCCGGCGGGCCCCCCCTGCAAGACCACTTCCCCGGGTGCTGCAAGTGCCACCAGGCGAGCAGCAGCCTCGAGCTGCGTGGGCTGCTTAGGCTCATGTCCACAATTAATTTGCAGCTTTGAGCTTACTTCATTTTCAAGTAAGTAGATGCAGGCCATGCAATACAAATTCACGGGAGTTTGTTCACCGCCCTGTATGCTAACGACCGTCCAAGGCATAACCGAGCACGTAGCGTGTGTGGTGCTCCTGGCCTCTGAGGAGGTCATGGACCACTTTTTGTCTTTCGAGCCGCACGTAGATCGCGTGGCGCGCTTGTACAGCCGTCAAAAGACCCTGCTGCAGCTTTCGCAACATAACCGGGTCCCGCAACAGGGCCGGGGTCAGCACGCCGGCCGCATACCCGCTCGTTTCCAGATAGTCCTTGGTCACCGGCAGCTTTTGCAGTGCGCGCAGCGGTATCCACTGCAAATGTGTCTGGGTCTGGAAGAGCACGCGCGTTTGTCACGAGCCGTTTTTTGGACTTCTACACAGATCGATGAGATGGTCTAGAATGCGGACAAAAGCATAGCAGATTTTGATTCTGCGAAAGCTGCTTGAAAGTTCCTAAGTATACCGTGCGAAACTTTCGTGCTATGCGTACTAGCGAGCAGCGGGCAAGTTTTTGCGTTTCTGCAACACGACAGATGAGATGGAGCAAGTTTCTGCGAGGTAAATAAAAAGACCACCTAACAGTATCATCAGAAGTCGCACACAAGGTTCACCAATCCAGACCCAGGTGAGAATGAGATGTTTGCAAAAATGCATAAGCGGTCCCTCGAGCAAAGCTCGCCCCCCGTCCAGCCGCTCCCAGCAGAAGTTTTCGTAGTCCACAGGCTGCACGGCTAGCGCGAGTTCTTCGGTGAGCGGACTCCCGGCGAAGTCTGTGTCATCATCCTTGATTTCAGCGAACCCTCCTGTCGGAAGCACATCAACATGCTTGCCGCGAGGTACTACGGCCTGCTCACTAGGCGCGTAAAGAGTCTTATGTTGACTGCGAACAGCAGCAGCTAGTACAGGCGCGCCGGGCGCAGGATAATCCACATTCTCTTCGACTTGTTTTCCTTGCATTTCCGAGTGGTTGATGAGATTTTTGTGTTGCTGATGAAGATTCTCGATATCTGGATCTACTCCTGCGCGCCCTGTGGATCCACTTTCGAGGCTCCGCCGTGATGTTGTAGCGGTACCAGCATTCGCAGAACTTGATGACGTGGTAGGAAGAGGAACATTCACAGTCGTGGCCGGAGCGATGGCGTCGTGATCGGCAATTTCAATCCGACTTGTCGAAGAGGAAGCTCTCAATCCACCCGAAGTTGATCGCGAGTCGAGCTTTTTTATCCAAGAAAAAAATCGTGTAGGTGTGACTTGCAATGATTTCTTTGGACGGACAGCACTACATCGGCCAGCAAGGGCAGGGAGTCCAGTCCCTCTGCCTTTTCTAGGCCTACTACAAAAAATCACATCACAACCGGTCATACTCAAACTAGGCTTCTCTGTGTTTCTGTTTACATCGTCGGTCTGCAACACAGAGGAAGCTAGAATTACGATTTTTTTTTTCTTGGATATTTTTGTGGTCAAGAATATTGTCGAGCTCCATTTCATGCGCAAGCTCGTCGAGATTGTCGCATTCCCTGGAAATGCACCATGCCATCGCCACCCGCATCCAGTTTTTGCATAACAAAAGCAGGCGCGGGAAGCTTTTCCTCTTTTCCATATTCATATTGATATTTTTGGTGACATTAATAGATGGAGATGGTCGATTTTCAGGGAATAACTCGACCGACGGAATCATTTGCTCGGATGCGCTGGTCTTGTCTAGTATTAACACTGAACCGCCACTGGTCCGGCTGGTGAGAACGCTGAAAAAGGGCGTTTTCTGCGGGGGATATTGCTGAGGGATCATCAATGCTGGCGCGACTTACTAGCTGCTAGCAGTTGCGCGTAAGAAGTACCTACGTCGACGATGTGGTGCGTACTCCCTTTCTTTTTTCGTGAAAGGCGTAGCGCGCTCTCTTGTTTTCTCCAGAGCCGAGCTACTAACTGGAAGACCCTACTCCGTTACACTGACATCATATCAGACAGTTTCATGATTAACTACTCCAAAAAAAAAAAATACAAACTCATTAGATACTTATGAATTTGCAATTTCATCGCAATTATCATTACATCGTCGCACAATTCTAGCGCCGTTAGAGTCGGCCACGACCATGAATGTGACGGATAAAGAAACACGAACTTGTCAGTCTCTTCGGGCTGCTCGTGCTCCTCCCAGGTGAAATTCTCCGCCTCGTCCTGCGGCGTCCTCGCCTCTACTTTTCGCCAGCCCCAGAGCTGGTAATTTCGCTTAACCATGTATCGCATGAAAAAAGTGTTTCACTGTAAGGATTTTGCAAGTGTTGCATCACAAGCTTGTTCTACATCACAGAAAAAATTTGCCATGCGAGAGCCCTAAAGGAAAACACAGGCAAAAATCTACTGTCTTGCATGTGTAGCAAGACAAACACTTCTCAGATACATTTCCTGCATTACAAGTTTACAGTGAAACAGTTTTTTCTTGCGATACCATGTTTTCCAAGAAAAGTGTGACCTTGCCGATATTTTCGTCGACGTGCGTGAAGGGCATCGTCAAATCCTCAACCACATACCTTCCGATTGCTTTTATAGAAACTGATTCTGATGTATTGCATTTATAGAAACTGGCATCTCTTCTGTGTTGCGTTTGAAAATAGGAGCTAGTGTCTGTGTTGTATATGCAAATTTATGGGGTGGTGGGAGTGTTTTCTGGGAGAGTGAGTTTATATTTGCAGATACACGACCGTTCTGGGGGATCCGGGATCTGGGGCAACGACGGGACGGAGCCGGATGGGCTGGCGACGCGGACAGGCCAACTTCTCATCCACCCGGCCGGGTGGAAGGATGAGAAGTTGGCCTGCAACTACTCTTTTGGAGTTTGTTACGCCGCTCTAAGAACATGTTTGTAACGACCTAAAAATGGTGTTCTTATCTATGCACGAACAGGAGGGATAAGAACAGCATTTTTGACAGAACGGGAACATCTGGAGGAGAAGCTTCAATTCTGATCGTCCAATCATCTCCGTGCATAGATGAGAACTTCTTTATCTATGCACGGAGTTGGAGGATAAGAGCAACAGAAAACGAGAACGGGAACATTTGGAGCCGAAGCTACAGCTCTGCTTCATCCCAAAACACCACAGCAGGTCGCTGCAGTAGTGTTCTTATCTATGCACGAGCGGGAACGTGCGCAGCTGAAGCACCATCTTTGCTTCGTGGACGTGGTCCCCTAGCCATATACATATCATTTTATGGAGCCAGCGCCCCACCGGTCCTAATTTAGGACCGACGGCACGGCGCAGGCACCAAAGACAACACCGGAGGGGCCATCATCTGCTGCCTGACACAAAGAGAGACGAGTGGGCGCGCACACTGCCGCGGCCCGGTGCGACCGCCGGCGTAGCCCCGGCTTGGGGGGGCTCTTTGGGTGGGGCATCAGCTCGCGCCCGGGCGCGCGAACTTGGACGCAGTGGCCGGCGGTTATTCTGTCAGTGCGCAGAGCGTTCCCTGGCGCATGAGCTGGGGCTGCGCTAAGCACGAAAGCGCGACCCTCTGGATGATGCGCGGCGAAAGCTTTGGATAGCCCTGGGCGGTGGCGCTTTTGTTAGCCTCAGACACGCCAGGCCTTGCCTAGAATAAAAAAACCCCACGAATCGCGACGGTATGGCGCGATTTTTCTTAGGGATAAGAACACGCGGGAAGATCACCTTTTTCATCTCTATATATTTTCGTCGACGTGCGTGAAGGGCATCGTCAAATCCTCAACCACATACCTTCCGAGGGGCTCCGCGCCTAGGTAGGGCCACAAGAAACTCAAACTGGCTAAGTTCGCGCGTGGAGAGTGGAAGCCGTCGTCAATGATCAGGTCGAATAGAATAGGCCGGCGCGGCGGGTCACGAGGACCACCCGCGTGATCGTCGTGTCCTGCGGCAGAAAGTGGAGGCCGATGGTCGTGCTCGTCGGGCTGACGCTGCCGACTCGTCTGCTGGTCTTCCTCGGGGGTTCTTGCAGTTGTCATGATGTCTCTAGCGCCAGGCTGCTCCTCGTGGTCCCAAAAGCGCCAGTATGTTTCGGCGCACTGCCTTTGCAGATCGGCGCATGTTTGCAGCACCGGTCGAGGACTCCTGGTGTATTTCTTTCCGCTGCTGAAGGACGACACGGCTTCTTCAGAATAAGCTCGCTTGTTCACTTGCGTACTGTCGCTCGACGAACTAAACGAGAAAGCGGATCCGAACGGAGCGGGCACGTGAGCATCCAAGTACGTCTTTAGAGGAGGACGCGGTCCTCGCACGACACCGCCGCCTCCGTCTTCAGCGCAAACCTGGGTCCGCACGTCCATAGAGTGCAGAAGACGGCACCTGTAAGCGGCTATCCTACAGAGACGTAGTACACACATAGCACCACCAACAGTGGATCTACATCTAGATAGCATCAGAAAACAAGAAAAAATACAATTTCTGTGTTGATGTTGGTGTTGGTTTTGCAGCTTTATAATATAAAATTGCGCTTCTGCTCCCAACAGCAAGAACTTTGTACTACTTTTAGTCATTATCGCTGAAGACACAGACACATATACAATTCTGCGTACAAATAGCACTCTGCAAGAAAGAACATTTCCTCTCTTGGTCGCGTCCTCGTGCTCCCCGCACTACAGAGTTAGGGTTAGCGCTCTACTAAGGGGCGCCATCAATTTGCGAGCACGACAACTTCATTTTCAACTTTGGTCGTCTCATACTATGGAAGTACTTTTCTGTGGGATAGCGGTGTCCGTCCAAAAATGGTTCTGCGCCATCCACGTGTCTACTGCCATCTTATCCACGCTCGAAACCTGTGCTGTCGAAATGCGTCCGCGTGGTAATCTCCGTACTACACGAGGGCCTCCACCTGGTACCAGTTCCAGCTGCTCCGACGTTCGATCCCTTGAGTTAGACTTCTGCGAGAGCGCCACCTTGGTCGACGTCGTCTCGCTCTGGTTCCCGGGCGCTTGCGGCCCCGACGAAGACACCATGCCCTTCTCATCAACAAGAGCAGCATCCTCGTCAACATGTGCCTCAGGCTCGCCGCCGTCCTCTTCGTCTTCGCGCGCGGCCTCTTGCGCCCGGCCTTTTAGTTTTAGATTTTTGATCTGTTCTCATCAGTAGGTCTTGCCACCATGACAAAACCGAAGGGGATCCACGCGAACAGCACACAAGCGTGGAGGACAAAGGGCGGCAACAGCGCGCCAACATGCATCTTCAGGGAAACAGTTTCATCATTCGCTTATTGTTTGCAATCGCATCGCACCACCTTGTTCATTGGTGGAGTGTCCAGTAGAGCTAAGTTCACAACCGGGAAAAAACGAAATCTGTGTGTCGGGCTGCAGCTGCAGCTTGCTTGCTGTGGCCCGATTTGCCGAATGCCCCAGATTTGCCGAAAACCTCAAAAATGCCGCCGCGACCCCCCGGAAGGCTTCGGGGCCTGCTGCTTCACCGGAACTGCGCCGCTGGTCACCTTTGCCTTGGTGCCAGGACGTCGCGGGCTCTTGCCCGTACGCTGCCGGTGCTGCTGCGGAGCAGGAACCCGTGATGATGATGATGATGATGATGATGAAGCCGACATCTTGGATGGCGCCGCGGCGTTCGCGGCACCCGTTGCCGGTCGTGGAGCCGGTTGCGGTTGTGAGCTTGAGGGTTTTGCGCGCGAAGCGTCCGGTGTGTACGAAGTGATTGATCGCCGCACGCGTTGGCTGGAGCGCAAAAGCTTCGCTCTTAACGTGAAAGAAATCGTCGGCATCCTGCGCCCCCGCCATTGTGGGCCAGAACTTTCGTAGATTACTGAGATATACAACTCTTTTACTGTGCTAAGTAGCAGACGCATTGCAAGTTTGTCCTACTTGCGATCTGCGTCTGTGCTCTGCTGCCGCAAGCTGTGGCGCGAGGCGCAAAGACTGAGGATCTTCGTGCTGACTGTGTCGGACTTTTACGACCTTCTTCGTGCGGCTTTGGAGCCGGTGGAACAACCTCTGCGAAAATTTGCAGCCTCTCATTGGGTCAGAAGGAACGTAGCCGCGGGCTGGCCTGCCCGTTCCCCCAATGTCGCCACTCAATTTACTGTGAGTGACTGCCATGCTGCTGTAGCATGCCCGTAACGTGCCCCTTACGGGTTTGTGGCGCACGGCTTGATCCTAAGGACGCAGCACGTGGCACGTCCTGCGCGTGCGTTTACACCAGGGCACGCCCTCGCCGCGATCCTGCATGCAGGGTCCGAGAGGTCTCCTTTGGAACGATCTGAAAACCGAGCGCGGACCTGCGCGACCGTTTTCAAAAGAGAATTCTTCTGCTCGCGCAGAGAAGACCAAAGGCTGCCGCACGGGCACCTTCGTTGTGCCACCGCCTGTGGCGCCGCCTAGCCACAGTCCGCGTCGGCGCAGGCACGTTCGCTCCGCCCCCGTGCTGCTCGTTCGTTCCCGGTACTCCCCGCGCTACCGCAGGACCAGGCTGCTCCAATCACCGCCGTATCGCCATCGTTTTCACTCCTGCGTGTCGCTCCACTGGTATGCACTGCACTTAGCTCTACTGGACTAGAAAATAACTATACTAAGAAATGTAAAACAACATACCAGGTCGCCTCGAAGACGGGCTGTCCTCCTCTTCGTCTTCGCGCGCGGCCTCTTGCGCCTGGCGCACCGCGTCGGCGTCTTATAGAGACGAAGTAGGTGATCTTCAGCACTGTTCTTATCCCTAATGAAATTCGCAGCATACTATGGGATCGTTTCAACGATTAATTTAAAAAAAATTAATTTTTGCTTATTCAAGAGGAAACACGTCGCGATTTTCGTCTGTCCGGACCGCCGTTTCCCATCCTGATTGCGACCACCAAGGTGATGTCAAAACCGGAGCTTCTGAATGTAATATGAAATGGAAGTAGCTAGACACGTCCCAACTTAAGCTAGTTAAAGTGGTTTATTTGTAGATGTTTCTGAATGGTGTTGATTGCCGTCTGCCAGGTAGGTTTTGGTGGCGGAATGGCATGACGAAGAGGTAAGCATCGCCGCGGAGGTTCGCTGGGGCCCCGTCACGTAGCAACGATGCTATGCTGGTTTCGACAGGTGGAGTTTATGCAGCAATATGATGGCTTTCGAATACATCCCAAGAAGAAGTTGGCGCGCTAAAACCTGAAAATGTGTGGTGTTGTAGTATTGAGATCTCGCACCTCAACGGACGGAACAAAGGCATACTTAGAGCATATGAAACGCTATCAAAAACCAACTAATATGAGGCTCTTCTGTTTTATGTTACAAAGGAATAAAGTAAAAAACGTCACCTGCTAGGAGCGAACACAGCGCACACGCGACACAGCGAATGAGCTGGGAGAATACTAGTTTTTTTACCTAATGAGCGAGCAGTCTGGTGTGATGGTGTTTGTACTCCAGCCAAACGAGTGCTTTGTTGTTCTTTCTTTGTGGTTGTGCTTGAGATGGTCTTCACTGTGTCACGATCTGTTGATGTTTTTTTCTGCTTTGTTGTACTTCCATGGAAGCGCGCCTGTAATATTGTTTCAAAGGGTTGTTTGTGAGCCAGTCATTGTCGCGTTTAGATTGTTACTACTCATCATTGCCAATCATCACCAGCTGAAAGCACATCCCAAAAACACATTGAAACTAAGCTGCGCATCAATCTCCTTTCAATCAAAAAACCGTAGGGATTTTAAGACAATTCGTTGTCTTTCTACAACTCTTCAACTTCTCACCGCCTTTGTGGTGCAAACAAAACCAAAATGGGGAAGACTGCTGGTGGTCCTATGAAGCTGTTTCACACGGCCATGCAGGGTTCCGGGCAGTTGACTGCCGCCGAGATCAAGTACGTCATTACGCACATGACTGCGCAGCTGAAGATCACGGAGGCGAAAGAGATGGGCGTTCAGCATGTCAGCGCCGTCCCGGACGTGGCCATGCGCCGCGACTGCACCAGTATATTTTGTTGTTTTAAATGATGTTATGAGCAGTTGCTTGTGATGCGTATCATGCAGAGATCATATCAAATTCAATTTCTAAAACAATAACAGAGTACGTCCACTTGAACAACACCGAGTCTGCCACCGTGGTGTCTTCTGCCGGTAATGTTCCCCTGCGTGTTGTATATGGAGGTAAATTCTCTACCTTGATAGCACTATAATGATGTCGCAAATAGGCATGTAAATCAAGGTCATGCAGACAGACATTTATGAGCGTATCTTCAAGGTAGATTTTCATAGCATATCTAGAAGCCCAAGTTCCAGGACAACGAGGCCTGCCGTCGCTTCTGGCGCAAGTGCTGGAAGCCCAAGAAGGGTGCCAAAATCTACGGCGATGAACGCGATGACCGCAGCGTACAGATGTGTTTAGACCTGTTGCATGATTAGATGTCTTTGAGTTGATTTCGAGGTGTGTTTGATACTCACATATTGAAATGTAACATAACTGTGGATCAATAACAGATTCCGGAAACCCGAGGGTGTGTTACCCTGCGGGCCGCCGTGGAGGACTGCATCGAGGAGAAGGCGCCGGAGTGGTGGAAGGAGAAGATCCAGAACTACGACGCCGAAAAGGAGCGTAAGAAGGCGGAGAAGAAGTTCAAGAAGGGTTTGAAAAAGGGCAAGGCGCGCGCGAAGCAGTACTACGACTCTGACTCGGACAGCAGCGACTCCGTCTTCGCCTTGGAGAACGGACGCGTGACCACGTCCGACTCTTCCGAGGACTCCGATGACAAGGAGTACAAGAAGCGTGCCAAGAAGATGAAGGTATGCTGGTTTTTTGTTGCTCATGCGATGCGAAATTGAAGCTTTTTCGTATGTAATCCTAATGAAACTCTAATATCAGGAATCGGAGATGGCCAAGTTCGCCAACGACAAGTACCTCGCGCACCGCAGCGGTGTGAAGGGCGAAAAGATGGCGGCCATGTTCAAGGAGTTCGACATCAAGCGCGAGCTGAAGCGCAAGCGCGAGGTCGAGATGCAGGAAATCTTCGCCAAGAAGATGGTGTTACTCTTCTATTTGTCATGCCATTTGTGATGCTAGAACTAAATGTAATTGCATGTAGTTTTTATATGTATTTAATGCTCAAAACAGAAATTGGGATCCGGAACCGAGGGCAACTCCCCCTCTGAGGGCGATCCCACCGCCGGATCGTCCCGTGACAAGAAGAAGAACCAGTCTTCCGACGAGGAGAAATCGCCGGCCAACGTGCCGTCCAAGAAGGGCTCGAAGTCCGCGATCGAGACCGACGGTGAGACCCAGGAGAACCCGTCCTCTGCCAAGGCGAACAAGACGGGTAAGAACGGCAAGTCCCCCGCGAACAAGGAGCCCGTGATCGCGATGCCCCCGCCGCCGCCGAAAT